GGGGGGGGGGGGGGGGGATTCTCCAAGCTTGCGGGCAGAAATAAAAAATTTAGCCTATTCACTTTCTTCAGGGTTCTTCAAATTCTCTTTAAGCAATTTCTTGTCTGTGTGTGTGTGTGTATGTTCAGCATCTTGTAGTACCTTTCTGTAATCTTTTCTCTCTGACAAACACCCAAGTGTTCTGGGAAGTCTGAGGGCTAATACTACTCATGGGTTCTTTCCAAGGCTTCCTTCCACCCTGCTATAAGGAGGAACTGACTGACGTAGTTATTTTAGAATACCTGTTTTAGTAAATCTCCCGGTGCATACAAGGCCTTGGCTTCACAATAATAAAAAAAGAATGTTTCCCAATATAAAATTCCTACCCTTTTAATCAGAGCTTGGCATCATTAAGTCTAAGCTACACTACCATAGAAACTAGAAAACCTAGAGGAACTTTATGGCTTCAAATTACTGTAACTGAGAATATGCAGAAACTTGTCTTAAAATGGTGATTGTTTTTGCCTGTATATCGTTGCGCTTTAGGTTCCCTTGCATCATCCCCATTTTCTCATTTACTCATAAACATTTCCAGGACAAGGGAACCTTAAAACCAAAAAGGATCATATACAGTTGACGGCATTTGATGCCACTATAGGATTAAGCAAAGCATGTTCCTCATCGTGCAAAGGTTATATCAACAGTTGCGGTTTGCAGTGTGCTCTGAAGGTCAGCAGTGCATGTGCTGTTGAACTATTGCAGAGAAAGTGGATTCCAAAGTTAAGAGCTTTCTTTTGAGGCTGTATACTTTGCTTGTTTTCTTTCTTTTGATGTGCCTGGGTAAGTATTTTGACTTCCTGCATAAGATAAAGTCACACAAAGGAACAGTGTATAATGCCAAGCTAGGACCACTGAGGACTTTGTTCCTCTCTCTGTAGAGTATGTACAGGATAGAGCAGCAGCACAAGGCTGGTATTTCTTAAGCTTGAGATGGAGAAGGAGAATTATTTAAATTATTTGACCCTCCAACTGAAACTGTCACCTGTTTCTGCCATGCGTTGTGGAAATCAAAATTATGTCAGCGATTCCAACCATATTGCATAAGCTTCTGCTGTGGGTGCAGATTTAAAGAAGAAAAAAGGTCTGTCATAGTACTGGTGGGTTTTTTTTTTCATATTGGTGCTCGCTCCAATGTGTGCAGGCCCAATTTGTTCCTTGTTTATCTACAGTGCCGGCGTGTTGTTACTGGAGATCCATTTAGGAAGTTGTTCTTTTAGAATACCTATTTTAGTACATTTCCAAGTGCATACAAGGCCTTGAGTTCAGAACAATAAAAAAGAACGTGGCTTCACACTCTGTTCAGGAAACGATTTTCATGTATCAGCCAGCCATAACTTTAATGTTGGTGTCAGCTTCTTTCTTCCAGCCTACCTGCATTTTTCCTCTTGCCTTTTTTTTCCCTTCTCTTTTCACTCACCCACTAAGTATCTGCTAGGATCAGACTGATACATAGGTTCTTTTCACAGAACTCAATGTTGTGACTACCTTCCATATGAAATGTAAAATATAGAAATTATTTCATAACTTTCGTGCATAGAGGTACCAGAGGAGTAAAGGATACCTTGCTACCTCTGTTGCCTCTTCTGGATTGGCAAGCTGTGTTTGCAGCACACGTGGCACGTGTAAATCCTGCAGCTTTATTCCCCGATGGGCTGTTCTTCACTCTGGCGTCAACGACCAGCCCCGCTGAGCCCTGACTTCATCTTTCTTGTTTGGTGAATGCAATGAATCAGCTGAAATCA